GCAGTCTAAATTGCATTGAAAAAAATGTAACACGCGGAGAACTTAAAATTAAAAAAAATGAAGATTTTATTACCAAACACAACATGTTTACTAAAAAATATGTTGAAAATTGAAACTGACTAAAATTATTAAGTATTAATTTAAAAAGACTATGTTTCATTAAATTTATTTTGTGAAAATGTAGGTAAATTAATTTAAAAACTTCTATATTTTTAAATCACTTTCACATTCACTAATTTCATGTTCTAAAATAATTTCACTATCATCATCAGTATTATCCAAATTTATTTCACTTTTTTGAATTGTATTGTTAAATCTCATGTATTTCTCTTTGAAATTTTTAAAAAGGTGAATAGCATTTTTCCAGTTTTCAACAATTATACAGTTAGATGCATTTCTTACTACAATTACAGAAGAAGTGGACTTAGGAGACGAGGTATTTGCTCGAGAATATTTTTTTAACTGTGACCATAATAATTCTATGGGGTTTAAAATACAGTGGTAGGGTGGTAAACGTAAAACTTTAAATCCTTTTTTTATTGCTATGGTATCGATAACATATTCAGGTTGAAAATCAACCAAGTGTAAAAGTTCTATTTACTGTTTTTTTGTGTAGTTTTCTTCAAAAAATATATCATTCTCCATCAGAAAGTCCTGAATCACTGATTTTGGAGATAGTAAGAGAGCTCCTTCTACCCAACCAAATATACCCAACTCTACAATTAATTAAAAGCACAACGTAAGCACAGTCGCTATAAGTGACGTTGCTTAAGGACCGCCCACTGTGCGCTACATCCTACCTTTAGTTAAGAATATCGTGAATACTACCAGTTTGCTTAATCCGCTAGGTAAAATTCACACCCTGAAATTTAATGTTTTAATTCTACAGGTACATTACCCTTTTATTAGGTACTTTCACTTTTATTACAATGTTATAGAAACAATCTGTTTTTCCGAATACGAAAATAGAAATCGACTTTCTCAGCGGTTTTTTTTTTTAATTATTAATACAATTGCTTATCAAACCTTTAATATTATTGAGAAATACTAAATTTCAATTCATCAATTATTTTTTTCCGATACCTCATAGTTATTAACCCTTCTCATTGAACAATATAATCTGACAAACATTCTTACGAAATATTATATCATTTAAGTTTTATTATTTTAAAAAAATGGTATTTATTCTCACTAAGAATGATTAACTCCACTTGCTCGAGTTTGATAAATGACGTAAAACTGTGCGGCCATTTTTAGTATCGTCATAACATCTCCTCTTTATTTTATATCAATAATTGGAAAGTTCGTATGCCCCGCCCTACTTTGTGACGTCACTGTGTACGTTGCGCAAATTAAGCTGATTTAAGTGATTTTATGATTGTTTCACTACGTTTCAGTGATCTGTTAACGTGCGACATCCCTTTTAAGCTAAAGATCTTCGGACTCATTTATAAAAGAGCTCCATGGAGACGCGATTAGCCAGAGCGCAGTGGCGTATCCAAAAAGAGATATTAACATGTATGAAAACAATAAAATTATTAAAATTGAATTAATATTTTTATATTAGTTATTTTAAAATAATGTGTTTCTATGAAATGTAACTGCGTGTTCACTGCACAAAGGAACCAATGGAGAAACCGCCCCTGATCTGTATTATCGTAACTCGATCCCGCGTTAGCGAAACGTAACTTTTGTATCGTAATATAAACCTTAATTGTTACATTCAAATAATTGTACTGCTGTATCTAAAAAATAAAGTAAACCTGTTTGAGCATATTTTTGGTTACTTGTCCAATAAAGATAGGTTTTTCAATTATATCCATCCCTGTATATTGTAAACGTCTGTTTTAGTATGTTAAAAATTTATTATATTAGTTTTATTATTAAATAAATTATTTAACCTTTTGTTGCGTGACCAATTAAAAATATGATTATTAAACTGTTTTCTTGCCCAAGTCGATTGAAATGTTAAAATTGACATATTCAATTTATTTCAGAATTTTTGTTTAATTTTCTCTACAAAAATTTAAGGTGGTCTCTGAAGTACCGTCAGACGTCTGGAAATACATTTAAATGGTAAAACAAGAAATGTCGATAGTCTATAAAATATGAGAAACATTGAAATTACTAACTTGTAATAGTAATTTATTGAAAAAAAAAAGTAGATTAATATACAAACATCACACTATTGAGGTTCTTGGTGAAATTCGAGGAAACAATTTTTGGTAGCATTACAGCACAGTGATACTTTACAAATAGAACATTTTGGGAGAGGTCTAGACTGAACACCTTTTTTACTGCAAATTTCACATCTACCTCGTTTGTCATCAAAAAGAACCGAATGTGTACCCCTGTTTGAAAGTCTAACATCGGCTGTTATAGAATAGCTGTGACCACGTCTCTTCTTCAAAGAATTGGTATTGGTGGTAACGTCGTTAAAAAGTCCAATAAAATAAGGTATCTAACTGCACTTATGATAAATTGCATAAAACTAAGTAAATTAATTTATTAACTCCGCACTTGTCAAACGAATCAGCTGTGACTGCATCACTTTCGAAATGACCGATGCAAAGAAGTTGTACCATGGCGGCAACTAATCACATCGACAACTCAAAGCATAGGTACTTGACAGTACCGTCCGGCTGTAAAATGATTTAATGGAAAGAGATAATTTATATGAGTGAAAATAAATCCGGTACAAAGGATTATATCAAACAATTTCTAACCTAAAAAAAAACATTAATTTAAATGCATGATAAACAAATCGCCAGTTCCAAATTTGGCTTTCGACGAGCTGTGTTCTGAATATGTCCCCGATTTAATTTGTTAAATGAACTAAAGGAATAAATTATACCAGAAGATTCCTTTGACGTCCAACAAATCTGATGGTATCAATTCACCTGTCACTTTCATTGTCTACGTAACCGATTTACAACGTTCATTTCCCCGCTCTGATTGCATTTTTTATTCAGGTGTCTAGTGGTGTAACCGCATCACATATTTTATCACGATTCATTGCTTGGAAAACGTTGGATACGTTTTAAACAGCTTTTAACACTCTGCAAGGTGAAGTTCGCGATATGGAATGAGGACACTTAGATAAATATTTGCGTAAAGTTAGAGGTTTAATAATTACTTCATTTTTCGACACCTAATTTATTTATAATAATTTATTTTTCATTCAAACAGGCTTGCTCATGGGTATAGAAAGAATAAGCTTTCTAGTCTAGTTATTTAGATAACATAATGACAGTAAAATATAAAGGGTCAAATTATAAATAAAAAGGAAACAATGTGTATTATGATGTGATCCACAAAAATGCCCCTATACAGTACGATTGTTCGAAAATACGTTTGTTAGAATATGAAATTGTTAGAGATACAATTTATTCGAGGATACTTTTTCAAATTTTTCTTAACCATCTGAAAGAAAACTGTACTGATTTTGAAAAAGTCTGATTAAAAATGGGAAGGGTCAAGAGAGGTGGAAACAAAAAAAATCATAAATCAAAAAAGAAAAGCGATATTAACATAAAATTTTCAGTAAAGATCATGCTCTATGAGGGAATGAATAAATAAATAAAAATAGGGAAATAGGAGGGGTTGAAATATTGAAAAAAATTCTAACTCGGAAACAAAAAACGATATCAAATTAAAATCTTCAGAAAAAATCTAGCTTTACAAAGGGATGAAGCCTATTGATTCTAAAAAAGATCTAATTGAAAATGGGGGTTAAGGGGGTCTGTTAAACTGTGAAAAGTATAATATATAATGCAAAGTATTATAAATATATCTTTATTCTAGTTCGTTATGTAGTTTGTAGATAAAGTGTATATAGGTAGCGAAAATTATATTTTCCTACATTCACATGGATATTCTTCTATGCATAGATTACAAAAAGTATGACATTGCGTTCAACTGAACGAATATATTTTATATCTATTTTACCTAGTAAAAACAGCAAAAAAAATCCACCAATTTATATACTTTTGTTTTTTTAAATTTTAAATTAGTGGTAATTCTATTATACTAATTGTCAGTATATTTTTGAATGAATGAATGAATGAATGAATTATTTTTGTGTAGAATCGATAATTAATAGCATTTCTAAGGTTTTCATGCAGAAGTTCCGGATTTAATTCTAGGAATGGAGACTAAATTAAAACTTTTTTTAAGTTTATTTATTTTATTGTATAAATTAGTAAAAGTCATAAATTATTCTTAAATTAGGTATTTTACCTTAATATCGTAAAAAGAATTGACTAAATAACCATAACAAAATAAAATTGCAATGACCACAAAAATTTATTTAGTACAAAGAAAAACACATACGAACCTACCTTTAGTTTTTTTTGTCACGGTAACTAAGGGGAAGCTAAGGGGTTGTTGATTCTTAAATGGAGAATTGAGAGAGCCAATAGGGGTGGAAGAATGGGTTTATACCGAAGAGAGTCGGAATTTATTGAATTTAAATCTACAAATTCGACTCTCATAGCAATGTACTCCGCTAGGCCAAATAGTAGAGGCGCCGAAAGTTTAACTCTGAGGTTATAAGTTCGATCTCTGGCCAATCTACTTTTTTTCTCTATTTTAATTTTTTTTGTGGTCTGTTTTCAATTTATAGAAGGAATTGGGGATTATATTTACACATTTCCAAAAATCTTATACATCAGTTTTCGGATCTTAACTGATTTTCTCATCTTTCTTTAAACAATCGAATGTTTTAGTTTATCAAACGTACAAATATAAAAATTATTTTTTTTATACGAGAAAAATATACCTACACAGTACGACAAGATTGAGATGGCATGTCAGAATTAGATAAGCACTCTTAAATTTGGATAACTTGTTTCAGTGATCTATTTGTATTCACTTGTGTTAACTGAGATAACTCCCCCCATTTTTAGGTTTGCCAGTGCGCATATAATTCGTACTATACTTTGAATTTTGAGTTTATTCTTGATTTATCGTGATTAACCATTTTTTTATTCTAATTTTAGGTCTTGGGAAATCACGAATTTGACGATGGCATTAAAGGTGTTGTTCCTTTTATAAAAGCTCTTAAATCTCCAGTTGTAACTTCAAACATTGATGATAGTCTGGAACCAAGTATTCAAGGGTTATACAAGAAAAGTACGGTCATTGAACGAGATGGAAAAAAAATTGGTATTATCGGAGTTATTACATCTGAGTGTGCTGTAAGTATTAGCTAATAAATTGAATTATTTCTACAATTTTTATATAATATTTATTGTGTGATTTATTTCATTACATAAAAATGCTCAATAATGATTGAATTCTTATTAGTTTTTGATCAATCAGAAATAGTTCTTTTTGCACCAAGACTGGTTTGCGACATGGAAATTATACTTAAAAGCAAAGTTGCTTACAAAATAACATTAGGTACAAAAAATATAAGAATACAATAACATTTATCATTAGGTTATTTTTTAAATACAACAAATAATAAGATAAACAACCGTGAACAAGAACTTTTTTATTATTGAAGATACAATTTTTCCTGAACCGTTATCAAAATAGTGCAAAATAAATAGCGCAAAGATTACCAAATTGCCTGCCTGTAGAGGTTTCATTATAAAATTTTTTTCAATTTTTATATTTGCATCGTGAAGTCAAAAGTTGATAAAGTTGAACACTTAATGAACTGAGATATCAGGACTTATGTCAAGTAAATTATCTAATCGATTTTGTGTATTAACAAAAAAAAAATGTATTGTAATATTTAATTAGTTTAACAATTGACCTTCCTCTTTATTGACAATTTCGCATTACTCACATAAAGAAAAACAGGAAGAGTTGGGTAATAAATATAAAAAACTATACTGGTTGATACATAGAAAATCAAAATTTTCAATCGAAAATAAACTTTTAATACATGAACAAGTAATGAAGCCAGTATGAACATAAATATAATACCACGTTTCCAGAACAAAATATTAAGGGCAATAGTAAACGCAGTAGTATGTAAGGAACTCAGACCTTGATAGGGGTCTGAGGATGCCAACAGTCGAAGAAGAGAGGAGAACCATCGCAAAAAAAGACTGTATGACCACGTCATTATTGTAGTTTTACAGTGTCTAGACTACCGATACCAAATGAGAAGGTTCATAAGGACCAAGCCATTTGAATTAGGGACGTGAAAGTATGTAAAAGCAGAGCTCCGTACGCGTGTGCAGTGTATAGTTCATAAGAACAATGAGGAGAAAATACACACTTTTGGGTGAACTCTTAGTGTTAAGCCTCTTGAGTTTATAATAAAGATATTTTGTTGGTTGGCTGAAATGTAGTCAGAAAAAAATATTAACGACTTCTATACACAATAAAAAAAATCAACTGTGTATTCACCCTGTATAAAATATTGTGCTAGACTAGTTGGAATTTCTAAGAAATTATTCTAGTGTACTCCAGAATTACAGAGAACCTACTTTCGTATCAAAAGAGATTCTTGTTTCATTGTTAGCTATGAGATTTTTTGAGCATAAAGCATAAGTGTAGGTAGGTGTATTTCTTTTGATAAATCTTCAATTGAAAGTTTGTATTTGCTACACTTTAATGCATTATAAAGAATATGTTGTTTCGAGATAATCGAGATTCCAATTATGTTATAAAAAAATTTTGTGTTACTTTGCAAATAAGATATAATTGGCGAATTCAAAAGCAATCCTCCAAAGCTTTTAGTAAGAGCTTACATAGTCTTCTGATCAGATTGGTGTTTAGGTAGGCTTACATAATCGTTATTTTTTTCTTTCTTAATATAGACATTACATAAATCTAAATACAAATGATCCATTTGATATATTTGACAACTGATGCGGAAAGTGAATTCGTATTCATACATGGAGGAAAATATATTCATAAGACAAAATAAACAATGTGGTCGTAGGACAATAGTTATAGTATGCAATTTTAACAAATAAATAGAATAAAACTTATTCTTCACACTATACAATTTTGATTTCCATATCAATATGTTAGTATTTTTTACCGACAACGCTCTATTCCAGAGACCTCTCGGTAATTGATATTTGATAATTGATTTGTATGATATAGGAGATGGACCCTTAAAGACTAAGTTACCGAGATACAGGGTGTTAAAATTTTTTAATCAAAATTCAAAATTAGCCATAAATCAAAAACGCCTTTATTTTATTTTTCCAAATTGCTAACCAATATTCTTTAAGAAAGTAATATTTTGACGTAGACTAACTTTCAAAAAATTTACCAGTCGCGCGCTATCAACGTTAGTGGCAATTTTCCCCGTATTTTTACGCCATTGCAAAAAATCTTTTTTAAGCTAATTTTTTTAATTCTCGGTTTATTTTTAGTTGAAAAGTTAAAAAGCTATTTTTTAGCTAAAATGAACGATGTTGCAGAAATTTGCAAACGTCTGCATTTACTTAGATAATTTCTAAATCCTAATCTTGTAAGTTATCTGTGGCAAATGGATATAATTATCAAAGCCAAAACCTTAAGGGAAAAAAATAATCTAGTAAGCACTAGTCAAATTTTTAATACTTCAGGTAGACCAATTTTGAAAAAAATATTTTTTTTTATGGAAAATTTTGAATTTTGATTGAAAACAACACCCTGTATCTCGGCAACTAAGCCATTTAAGGATTTATGTTCCTATTTAAAATTCACCAATTAACGTGAGCTTTCTGTGATAAAGCGTTGTCGGTTGAATATTCTGACACCTTGTATATGTAATCGTATCACAAAAACATTATTTGTTTTCCGGGTCGTTGTAAACGTTAGGGCCGAGAACGATGTTAGGATAATAAATCTGGAGCACCACATACTGGGAAAGACTTAGATTAATTATTAAGGGCTCTTGTCTGAAATCCCAATGAAATCGAACTAATGATTCTCTCTGAAGAAAAATAGGAAAAACGGTTTAAATGTATTAAACAGATTCGGCAACTTCCTTAATTACAGATCTTGTGTTACTTATTTCATAAGATAAAAAGAAGAAAATACAAATTTTAAATACGCAATTCTGACGTTGTCGCTACGAAATTTTCTATCAGAATGAGTATACAGCCTAAATTAATACGTATTGCAGGGCAACTCAAAAACATTTCTTTGAGCATCTAAAAATTTCTACAAATTTCTACGAATTTCTACGAATTTCTACAAATTTCTACCAATGTCTACCAATGTCTACCAATTTCTACCAATTTCTACCAATTTCTCCCAATTTTTACCAATTTCTACAAATTTCTACCAATTTCTGCCAACTTCTACCAATTTCTACCAATTTCTACCAATTTCTACCAATTTCTACCAATTTCTACAATTTCTACCAATTTCTACCAATTTCTACCAATTTCTACCAATTTCTACCAATTTCTACCAATTTCTACCAATTTCTACCAATTTCTACTAAGTTCTACCAATTTCTACCAATTTCTACCAATTTCTACCAATTTCTACCAATTTCTACCAATTTCTACCAATTTCTACCAATTTCTACCAATTTCTACCAATTTCTACCAATTTCTACCAATTTCTACCAATTTCTACCAATTTCTACCAATTTCTACCAATTTCTACCAATTTCTACCAATTTCTACCAATTTCTACCAATTTCTACCAATTTCTACCAATTTCTACCAATTTCTACCAATTAATTTTTACCAATTAATTCCTACCAATTAATTTCTACCAATTAATTTCTACCAATTAATTTCTACCAATTAATTTCTACCAATTTCTACCAATTAATTTCTACCAATCAAATTCTACCAATTAATTTCTACCAATTTCTACCAATTTCTACCAATTTCTACCAATGTCTACCAATTTCTACCAATTTCTACCAATTTCTACCAATTTCTACCAATTTCTACCAATTTCTACCAATTTCTACCAATTTCTACCAATTTCTACCAATTTCTACCAATTTCTATCAATTTCTACGAATCTCTACGTACTTCTAGACAGGTGACACTATCTTGCGGTGACTTTTGGAAGTATTGTACCCGAAGTAATTCTCAATGCGTGACCTTAATATTGACAAAAATTGCGGGAATGGAGCCTAGAATATTTATGAAGATTTACATGAGAAATTTGTCGATCTTGAACCGGAACTCTTGCTGTCCCTATATTGTCAAAATATGCGTTTAAATAATTTTTTTTGGGGATATGTTAAAAGCAGAGTCCATGAGATAAAAGTGGAGATTAGACGAATGATTCGCGAGACAACACTAGAAAGTTATTTCTTGTCAAATAAGTCGTGGTTGGCAGATATTGTATTTATTTCACGTATAATTGTATAAAATTCATAATAGTTGTAAAACTAAAAAACACAATTTTTTAACTTTTCTATTTTTATATCAACATTTTGAAACACTCGTTGGAACACCCTTTACATGTTTCATTTTATTTTCAGCAAATTGCAAATACTGGCAAACTGAGTTTCTTCCAAGAATCCGTCAGTGTTAACGCCGAAGCTGAACGCCTGGTCAGAGAAGAGGGAGTTTACACAATAATAGTTCTGTCTCATTCTGGATACGATGTTGATAAGATAATTGCCCAGAATGCTTCCGAAAGGATCAGCCTCATTGTGGGAGGTCACTCGCATACCTTCTTGTACACAGGAGGTAAGAATAACAATATAACAATAGAATCCTTAGAAAGGATATTCCAGATAGAAGGACAAACAAAAAGCTTTTTTCTCCGTTTTTGTTGACGATTGAATTGGATGAACTGTTTTTCTTTTCTAATAGAAAAGCTTTATAAATACTAAAATAACATTTTTATTACGGGTATATTAAAGCAAATTTTAGGTAAAAAAAGGAAATGTTAAATAATTCTAATATTGAATATACCTACGTGTAATTAATATCCATAAAATACAGAACAGCGATATTGATTATGGAGCAAATCAACAAGGGTCAATGCCTTAAACTTAAAAACCTATTATTTACTATTGGCTGTTAAAAATATAATTTATAATACATACAGAGGTATACAGTGTGACCCAAATTGGGCCTCCATGTAAGGGGATTTTGAAAACAATAGAAATATATTTGCAACCTAAAGCCGTTTTTAATACGTGATTTTATTTTTTTTATATATTTTAAAAAATTAAACAAATTGCATTTTCTAAACTATGCAGTAGCTTTTTTATTTTTCACTATTTTGGAAAATTTGTAAAAATAATTTTTGAAGTAACTTTTTATGTAGTTCTGTAATTGGATTTTAAACACGACGATTTACTTATTTTATACCATCAGTAGGTTACTTTTTTCTTATAGACGCTATATTATATTTTATAACGAAAAGGTAGCTATTGATTTCAGCTTTACAACGATGTGTCACTTATTGAAAGGATAATTCGTCGTAACTGTATTGTGGTATTTGGACTTGACGTGGACAAGTCAGATCTGACGATACCTAAGTGCAATCAGTTTTGGATCACAATCATAAAAAGTTATCGAATGAAGTTTTTAACAGTTAAGCGTAAAGCTGTGGAGGACATTTGTCAAAAACCCTAAACTCATTAGAAACGAAATTAAAAATTCTGCAGTCGAGATCTTAACCACAAAGGACATTGTAAGATTGAGACAATGCTAGATCTTCTCTTCTTTTTATAAATCTTAAAAATATTTCCGAATTTCATATGGCAATTGAGTCGTCTCCTATTTTAACCAATTAGAAGGAAAACTTCTTGCTTAAAGTTGACAAATAAAATATTGTCATATTTTCGTGTTTATCAAACCATACATTTCTGTCATGTTTCTTGTTGGTATGTTAATGGTACATTTGAATATTGTCCCCGTTTTTTTACTCAATTGTTTATAATTCATGGTCTTAAAAATGATCATTATATTCCATTAGTTTTTGTCTCCTTCCTATTACAACATTCTTATCATACAATCTTGTTTTTAAGTATATAATACAGGAGTGTGTCAGACTTAACCACCCTGTCTCGCCAAAAATGATAACAGCAGATTTTGAGATTGCTATTCTTAAAGGAATTTAGAAGGCGTTCCTAGAAGCAAGTCTACCAGGTTGTCGCGTTCACTTAGGGCAGTCATGGTACCGAAAAATTCAAGAACTGGGCTTAGCTACAGAGTACCAAAAAAACGGGGAGAGTGAAACGGAAATATCAAAGTTTTTAACCTTTGTTTTTGGATTACCATTTCTTCATCCTGAAGATGTAGGCGACATTTTAGCAAATGATTTAACACAAATTAAGCCTGTCAATGAAAAAGTTACGCAGTTTTGTGATTATCTCGTTGACAATAATTATATTGAAGAAGACTCATTTTTCCATCTTTTATAAGGGCAGAGCAATCTTCATCTTTGCAGAGAACCACCAATTATTAGGAGACTTTTCATTTGAAATATAATGCTTCCTTTTACGCCGCTCACCTTAATGCGAATGTTTTTATAAATGTGATAACTCAATTTCAAATTGACACATATAAAAATTTATAGTGTTCTAACCCCAAAAAAACTTGACACTCGAAGTTTAAGGAGAAGATTTCTTGAAGACTTGCTGAGTGATCTATATCAACATAAAATAAATAAATTAGACTTTATTAAAGTTTTAATAAACATTTAAATATGTAGTTTTTGTTGAATTATTGCCCATTAGTCAATTTACAAAATACCTAGATTAATTAATAAAATAACAGAAGTTAGTAAAAAGAATCAATATTCTTAAAACCTTACTGGCTAAAAAATATTTTCTTAAAAACTTACTGACTGAATATAAAGAGAACGATTGTAGAATTTTTAATAAACAACGCAAAAGGTGGCAAAAATGGCTCAATTTTACAGCTACACTTGTCTCTTTACGATGTGTCAACTACATTAAATCTATAGGCTGGCTCACGAACTAGGTGCCTATCTATTTAAACGGGTGCACAATGGACCTAGTGAGGCCTAAGTGCCTTTGGTTAACCCACCCTTCACACGCAACAGATACTACTCCCTAAATAAAAAAATAATATTTTTAAAACGATAAATAAATGCAAAATTATAGAAATTCGTTATCGAAAAATCTAATTAAAGCATAAATATTACAAAAAATTCAAAATACCTAAAAATCATGAAAAAAAAGAAACAACTAAAATACTATTCAAAACATGTAATTTTACTTAAAAAGTACAAATAAAACAAAAGACGTGTTAAAGTATTAAAAAACCACAAAACTAAAACAATAATTATTAAAAAACGAAAAGAAATCAATAAAAAACAGTTAAATAACTTATTTTCAGTGTTAAAACGCTAAATGGGTGCAAAAATTCGTTAAAATATTGGCGATTATCCTAAATGAATCAGAAATATTACAAAAAAAAACAGAATCGGAAATTTCCGAGCTGATTTCTTGAATGCTACAGTGTTACGAGCAGTTTGCGTTGTTGCCAGATAAATAGTTAATATTTTACACAAAAATAGGCTCATAACTATTCCCATCCTGGATGAATACTAAATATTTTCTAATTGGGGAAATTAAAAAAAAAGCGCACCAAAAATGTTACCTTTGGTGTAGGGATAAAACGAAAATTCTTTAATTTTTTATATCTTTATTTGGTAAACAGAGTTGATATTTGATATATAGCAGTGGCGTAAAGCAGACTCCAAATATTATTCATTTTTAATATGTACATGTCTTTTAAAAATACCCTGTTTAAATTACCATAACGCCTTTGACAACTGTCTATATTTACTCTTACTAGTATTCTTAAAATTTTTAAATACTTATTTTTATTTTAGATAATCCTCCAGGACCTGACCCAGTAGAAGGTCCTTATCCAACAATTGTTCAAAGTAAAAACGGACATAGAGTTCTTGTAGCTCAAGCTGCTGAACATAGCAAATATGTAGGAAATTTAAATGTATTTTTGGGCGAAAAAGGTGAAGTAGTTGGTTTTGCTGGAGCACCTATATTTTTGGATACATCATTTCCACAAGGTAAGGAATAATTTTAATTGGCAGATTCTAGACTAAATAATCCCTGACCGATCCGAAATGGTTCTTGTTGTAACTGTTTTAACTGTCGTCTTTTGAACATTTGACTAACGGTCATGCATGATTTTGAAATCTTCTTAAAACAAACATAATAGGTTTATTTCTGCAGTGTATATTAAAACTAATCGTCCTATTTGTTTTTAGACGAATCCATAAATGCAGCGCTTCAACCATGGAAAGAAATAATAGATCGAGAAGGAGCGAGAGTATTGGGTTCTACTTTAGTTAAACTAGATAGAACCAATTGCTTCACTCAAGAGTGTACGTTAGGTAACTTTGTTACTGATGCTTTCGTATACCAAGTAAGTTTTTATTTTTTAGCCTATAGCCTAAACCTTAAAGAATCTTATATATTTGTTTTCCACTTGCTTATTAGGTATGTTTATTATTTGGTTCCCACATGTGTTATTATTGTATGAAGAATAAAAGAAGCAACAGAACTAAATCATTCGTTATCAATAATTTTAAATAGGAAAACATAACGACCAATACCATGTATTAGGTTAGGTTAGGTTGAAAATGAGTTGGATGATCACATAGCCTTCCACTGCGACCCCGATGGGTCTATTGTGGCTCATGACTTATAGTTCACCGAACAAGCCACACCTTTTGATAAAGGTCATGGTTGAATTGGGTGAGACTTGTTTAAAGTCGGTAGGCTGGTTCTTTCCAGAGTGGAGCAGGTACATAGAATGTGTTCTACAGACTCGTCCTCCACGCTCCATAATCGACAGTCCGATGTTTGTTGCAGACCTATCCTTCTCATGTGGGTGCCCAGACAGCAGTGTCCTGTCATCAGTCCAGTGAAAATGCGTAGATCTTTTCTACTCCATTCTCGGATCTGAGCAGAGGCGTTCATAGAAGGGTGGGTTATAAACGCCTTCGAATGAGTTAGCCCTGGGGCATCTCTCCAGTTCGTGAATGTTGCACCCTCCGTCCATTTTGAGATAATTCCTTTGGCAGTGCTCTTTGCAATTCCCAGGAATGGTTCTGGTTCTATGAATAGGTATTAAAAAAACATTTATGCTCCATTCTGTATTAAATCTATGAAAATTTGCTGCTTTTTGTTTTCATAAATACCTAGAAGTTTTTAAATGGAAGGATAGTGACTAATTCAAATGAATCGGTCATTTGAGAAAGCCCATAAGTCACAAATTTGACATATTCCAAAAATGGCGGATTCTTAATGTACTTCGGTTCACATTCCAACTGGAAATCCTATTAGACGTAGCACTCCTTGTATTAAATTTTCAAAAATCAAAATCTGCTTTACTTGAGAAATCCCATAGGTCGCTGACTAATGGTGTTTCTCTAATACACGCGGCACATGAGCTAATACAATCAGCTGTCGCAGATTGACGAAAGACAGGCTTTTAACGGTATTTCCGCTCCAATAAACAAACTAGGACTGACATACGGACCTTGTAATAAACTGTAATAAATAATGTTGGAAATACCTGTGCGATCCGTAGGGATGGAAGAACCTTCTAATTACACACTTTATTTTAAAACACTACTGAAATGTTAGATTCTCTCAAATACAAGAGATTGTTGTAACGTGAAAGTCGGTCGCGAACACCTTTTATAACACGGTACTACAATGTCTTGTTAAGCATATACCCCAGGAAGTAGTTGTTTTGTATTATAAGGCAGCCAGTTAAAATCGGGACTGGAAATATAGTGGCAATCGCCTTTAATTTTAATGTAATTGCCTTCCATTTCAGAAAGACGTCAGTCGTCTCTTTTATAGTTTCGGTTTTATTATATTTTTATGGTGGTCGGGTTGATTCCCCCTCCCTCCCCCCCTTCCCCTAAAGGATGTTAATTACGCTAATGAAATTTTCCTTTGAAAACTGAGCTAAAATTGTTTCAATACAATATAAAGTTCTATTTTTTTGTACTATCCTCAAATAAAAATGGCATGAAACAAAAAACTATCTTAAGCTGCGTAGAAAGAACAAGCAAATTGAAAAGACATCTGCCATTTAAATTAACTGAAATAACTTCTTAGCTTTACTACAAAAGCTAACTTTTTTAATAAAGACACCGAAATGAATGTTTTTACAAAGAGAGGTAGGTAAGTAAGAACGAGAAAAGTTGTCTAGGTAAAAAGTGAAATGATTCTTAATAACCTGTTCGCCATTTTAATCAAAAGTTTTAATCAGATAATTCTTTCGAAATATAGTTTTAATCTCGAGTTTATTAAAAAAACATTCAAAGAAATTGTAACTTAATTGTATGGTTTTAATTCGACTACACTTTAAAATTTTAAAAATCTACTGGTGAGTACATTTTGAAAAAAATTGTAATAGCTGAAAGCGCAAATCGAGAGATGAAACTTAATTTTGGGACTGACATTTTTTTAGGTCTGCTAAATTTAAATGGTGGACATTCTAATTAGCCAAAAATTTATGTTAGTTTAATTTATTTCTGCCAATTAACTTTTTAAAATTAGTTCAAAAAAGCTGCCAGAAAACAAAAATTAAAGCAGTGGAGGCATGAAAATTGTTCAGTGGCAAAAAGATATTTCAATAAAGCAAATATACTCAACAAGAACTACAAAATAGTTACATTATTTAATGAAGCCGAATGTTGAAAATTGCTTATCATATCGTTATAACGTTCGGCTGGCCTTATAAACTGGTATCACTAATATTACTAAGGCTAACTATCTGTGGTTTTCACTTGGGCAGTACCAAATCGTATTAGAAAGCATTCGATAGCTGGCACTGTGTATTAAAACTTAAATTCGTTCATAATATCAGGAATAATCAAATAAAAATTATTTCAGTATACAAAGACAGCGCCTGAAGGATCTTGGACAGAAGCAGCTATTGCCTTGATGAATGCAGGAGGTCTACGTACAAATATTGAAGTAGGAAGTAAGTTCATTTAAAAATACTATTTCAAAATAAATATTAAAATAATGGGCAATAGTTGACACATGTACATTTCGGTGTACTCAGTAACAAATTTCTATCAGAAAATCATTTGATTAAAGTATTAGAACCATTTACATGAAAGCCTGAAAATATATTTAAACAATATTAGTGAAAAAGTCTTGTGTGATAAAAGTTTCCACTTGTGGAACAAAATGTCACCTTTCACTGTTTTTTTTTTTCAGATATAACTTTCATGGACATGGTTACCGCACAACCGTTTGGTAATACCGTCGATTTTGGACAAATTAAAGGAAAGTACCTCAAGGAATTGATGGAAGCCGCCACGAAAGAATACTATTATAGACGTCTTTACAGCAGTTTAAATATGCTGCAAGTCTCAGGTTAGTTACATATTTGAAATATGAAGCTTTTACTTTTTAAGGTCCAACTTGTCATGTTTTAAATATAAACCTTTTACCTTCTATATATATTCAAATTAAATGATATCTTAGATATGAAGCAAAACAATATTAAGCCATCAATATTAAACAAGAACAAAACGCACTGTGTATCAATAACTTCTAAATCTATACCTATAGGATAAATCTACGTATATTTAGGTCCAAAATTGTTTAATTACTTACCACAGAGAGCAAAAGAGGAAACTTCTGTTATAACAGCTTTAAAAAACAACTTTTACTATTTATAAAAAAAAGTGAAGGAACAAATGACACTTGGGGGGGTAATGGGGTATATGTCCTAAATCAACAATTATAGTAAACTGAGTTTAAATTTTTAATATTTGCGTTTAAATAAATAACGGTTTTTTAAGTAACAAATTTTGTAAGGTTTCAACTACTTATATCCCTTTTTCCATTATTTATATCCCTTTTCCTATTACTTATATCCCTTTTCTCATTACTTATATACCTTTTCCCAGGGGTACAGAATGAATTTAAAAGTATCGTGGCAGATTTAACTCAATTTAAAATATGTTCGACTTATACCCCTTTACCCCAAGTGCCAAATATTCATAAAATAAAAGAAAATTGAATAAAACAAAAAAGAAAATAAAAAATATCTCTTCTGTTCTTTCGTTGTTTCTAATTAATACAGTGTAGTAAAACTAAGGAAAAAAAGAAAATTAAATTAAAAAATATATATAAAACTTAAAATATGTATTGTACCAAAAGCTTAATTTAATATGTTTCTGATATATTTAAATATAGTAGGTAATAATATAATCCAATTTTAAAATGTGACCAATTTAGAAATAAAAAAACAAAGGAAAAAAGAGAAACACTCAAAGACTATGTCACAGAAACCTCGAGCATCCATTTTCTTTCTGAAAACAACTACTTAAGCTAATACCGCAACAGGAATTGCATTATATCAAAAGGAAAATAGCATAAATAAGAATAATTTTCACTTTAACTTTGATTTTGCTCTCCAAGGAAATCGTCTTTCTTGGACCGATTTCGTCCTTATGAGGAATCATCAGTAAGAAATAGACAATCTTGACTCCACTGGATTCTGCTTTACTGGCATTTATTTAAGCTGGTTAAGACAGTGCTATAGTCAATGAGTGCACTTGGAAAGCAAAATCAAAGCTCGCTCTGATAATTTTTTCTCTAGAAGACAGCCGAATCTATTACCTTAAATCAGGGGCGGCTGAGGCATAAGTGCTGTAGAGCTAAAGAACTGCCAAAAAATGAAATTTCACAGAAATTATTTTTAGCATTCTAGAAACGTAAAATAAATTTAATGGACAATATTGTTAATATCATTAATTGGGAGGGAGAGGTAGAATCTTGCAGAACATCCAAAGTCTTTGACCAAAAGTTGTCACTGCCTTTAATAATTTTCAATCTGGTTAATATCCATGCATCTCAGCGATAAAACAATAAACTAAATATAGGAACTATTACAAAAAAAATAGCCTATTTTACGTTAACTAGCGACCATAATGTATTTTTTTTAGTTTGACCAAAATCGGATAAATTGTTCTCGGTTTAAAATTATTTCGCTTTATTAAATTGTTTTTGACATTTTTAACATGGTTTCTGTTTTTGTAATAACCGTTAATTGGAATTGTTGAAGCTATCGATGCGATGAACTGGTAAAAATGCCGAGACAGTGAATCAAATATTTTAATTGATTGAAACGCATGTATCGATAAACTGAAACAACAAATTTTTATTTTTCTATTTCGGAATAATATAATGAATGAAAGATATATCACGGTGGGCTTGAACATGATTTAAATGCGAAGTTTTAGCACCACCGATTTTCTTTCGGCATTCGATTCCTGGAGTCATAAGAAGGCTGGAAAAAAATTCACCGTAAGCCTTAGAGCTGTTTTCGAAAAAAACGCATTTTTTCACGAGGAAAGATTCAGTGTTCCAGATATCGAGATTTTTGTACCTTTTGCTCACTTCTAGTTGCCAAACATCCCCAATTTGACATAAATGATGTTTTCCTCAGTTTTACACTAGCACACAAACATTTACAAAGCATATTTTTGAAATTGCTCCTTTTTCTAAGACCGGAGAAACTCTTTGGCGATTCTCAGAAACAGGTTAAAATTGAGAAAATTTGAAAGAATGATTTTTCATTCGAATGAGTTTTGCGCTAGATGTCAACAAGCGAGAATCATATCTTTTATTTCCATCCTTGTCTGATTTGCGGGGTCATCGAACTATCACCCCCGATTCTTTGTTTACGTTTTGTTATAATGGAGATCGAATGATCAATGTTATTTGGGCAATTAGTTAAAACTTCAGATAGTCTTCGAGGTGAAGTTGTAATTGTTCTCTTCGAAATTTCAATTTCTTGGGAAAGTATGGACAGAAAATCAAAGGACCAGCAGGAACCCATCAAGAAAATCGAGCGTGCATATGTTTCCTCTGTCTGCAGAAGAATAATCAAATGGTCAAAATCAGTGGTGCTTTATGTGTGAATTTAAAAAAATGTGTGAATTATGCTAAACATGATGAACGTTTTCACAATGTTTTATATAGCGCTTGCAAAATTATCGTATATCGGTCAGTAAAGTGTGAAACTATCGAGCAAATAGTTCTGCCGGACTATACAAAGTTTAAAATTTTGGAGAAAAATACTTGGGCAAAAACTCAAACGCTGTGCAGTTGCACATTGTGTGAATTGGTACGAGATCCAGGGCCATATAACTTCACCAAAAAAAATGACAAGAACAAAAAGAAGATGAGCAACAAGTGCAAAAAATTTGATGAAACTTATTCGGTAAGAGGGAAAAAACATTTTTGTACCCCAGAAAAACACTTCCCGAGTTTTAAAGAACATGTAAGTAACTCGCCTTCCCTGAAACAGAGAGAACATTTGGCGTGTTCTTTAATAAAGGACATAGTTTTAAATGAGGACACAAATTTTCACAGCTCGAGCAATAAAACCGCTACATTATCTCAGATCCACGGAAAGCCACTCACCGTTGAAATTACCCCGAAACTAAAAAGTCAAACTATAGGCCCGCAACAGATTTTCGCAAGAGATGTAAAATAACCACAAATTACGGCCTCTCCAGCAATGTAGTTCAGGGCATAGCAAGAGACTTGCGCGTTGACTCCCAAAAAAGAAACCTGTTTGAACCACATCTGAAGGCGAAACTTTCTACATACCGCCACAGGCTAGATGAATTTTTCGATTTCAAAAGTTGCCCCATAACAACATCCAAAGCTGGCGAGAAAACGACCTCTACAGAAGTATTGGCATTTTGTACAGATGTTCCGGCCTTATTCGATTGTATAAAAGCAACTCGAAACAATGATAATCCCCATTTGAAGTTTGGCATTGATGGTGGGAGAGGTTTTCTCAAGATTTGCCTTTCAGTGCCGAACCTGATTCTGCTGTAATAGACGGTCGACAAAAATATATAGAGGGCGTAGGGGTTAAAAGATTCAAGGATTCCGGAGTCAAAAAATTATTTGTTCTGGCAATAATTGCAGGTACACAAGAAAACCATGAAAATGTGAGAATGTTATGGTCTCTCTTACAGATTAATAATTTTGCCGGCACGATTGCGACCAATTTGAGACTGCCAAAAAATATTGGTAGGAATCATGTCTCATGCCAGTATCTTTCCCTGTACCTGGTGTTTCACCTCGAAAGAAAGTTTAGACACTTGTGGGGAGAGGAGGACTATACAAAACTGCCAAGAAAATTATTTAGAATGGGAACAAGCCAACTTCAAAAAGTCCCTTGCAAAAAATTATAAAAACTGCTCGAATTTGCCTGTTCTTTCTAGAGGTACTCCAGACAGATTCTTGACAGCATTGCACCCCCTGAATTGCATTTAATTCTCGGAGTAGTGAACACGCTTTATAATCGGATGAAAATGGAGTTCGAATTTGAATCTTTTGAGTGGACCAAAAGGTGTAATGTCGGCCACGAATTTGTGGATGGGGCCTCTGTATTCGCGGGTAATTCATGCAAATTGCTTTTGGATAAAACTGATGTTTTGTAAAATTTATGCAGGCCTGGTTGTCTGAATTATGTTAAATGTTTCCGAGAATTTCGAGCAGTGGTGGAATCTTGTTTTTCAATAACTCTGGAACCTAACTACAGAGAAGCAATAGACAGATTTATAAGAAGTTATCTAGATCTACAGATCAGTGTTACTCCAAAGGTCCATGCTGTGTTTTTCCATGTACCAGAGTTTTGCGCTAAAACAAAACAAGGGCTGGGGTTTTTTAGCGAGCAGGCCATGGAATCTGTCCACCATGACTTTGAGATAACGTGGGACAAATTTAAAGTAAAAAAATGTCATCCAGATTATGGAAGTAAATTACTGACCGCACTCAGAGAATATAATAGTGTTCATTTATAACTTGTGACTCAATAGTTGATTTGTTTAAAAAGCCAAGAATTTCGTTCTTTGTATTACTGTTCTTTACTTTAGACATTAATTCACAATTATCAAACTATTCATTCTTGTACAATCATTATTTAAACATTTTTTTTTCATTAAAATTATCAGTTCAATGATCAAAATTTCAATTTTTCATCATTCCTTTTCCCGTCAAAAGGGGCATGCAGAGTTTTTTTTTTTTTAGTGTAAATCCAGGAAAAGGTTTGTCTGTCTTTGATCTTCCAATGGGGAGTCTTTGGATATCACATTTTTACCAAATTGAGCGTGTCCCAAGTCCAAAAATGCCTATTTTTGTATCTTTGCACTATTCATTGAAAAAAGTGGATTTTTTTAAAATCGGCTCTAAGGCGTACGGTGGATTTTTTTTCAGCCTTCTTATAACTCCGGGAATCGAATGCCGAAAGAAAATCGGTGGTGCTAGAACTTCGCATTTAAATCATGTTCAAGCCCACCGTGATATGCTTGACATTTCATTAAATTAAAAAACAAATGTATCAA